TTAAGTGATAGGCTACTGGCAGGGGATGGCGGGCATCCTTTTGGAGATGGGGAGGAGGAATGGAATGAGGAACTGTGGGAGGGAGGACCAGGAGCAGGGAAATAGCTGGACTGTTAAAAAAAAAAGTAATAACTAAAATTTTTTTAAAAAGAGAAAAAAAGAGAGAGAAATCTAGGCTATTGAGCTTGAACTATGAAGCAAACGAAGGCAGGCATGACCAAGAATAGGTGAGGGATGGAGGAGACGGGAAGTTAATGACTTCAACCGTATACCAAGAAAAGCAGGAGTGTTCACAAATGGGTGAGTCTGTTAGACACTCAGCTGTGAAGCTGGGATAGTAACAGCTTACACAGTCCTAAGAACACTAGATGAATGCGTGTTCCCAGGGTTTGATAGGGGAATAAGGCCACAAAGCTCTTTCATGTGGACACCAGGAGAAAGACAAGCCAGTGACCTTCAAGGAGAAAGTCCAGTTCAAGGTCTGCACTGACTCTGTAACAAGTATTTTCAATTCTTTTGTTCTATTGTATACCCACTCATTTGACAAACTAACTTTTTCTCTGAATGAATTCAGTCCACTTTCCAGAACCTCTAAAGAGAAACCCTGCCTTGTGAAGGTAAGTCCATGATAAGTTCACTCAGGCTGTGTCCCCTGAATATGCATTCAACACAGTCTTGCCCTTGCTCATTCTTCAGGGCCCATTTAAAGCACTCTATTTACCATCTACTCTCCGATCCTCATATGCTTCCCTTGATTCTCTGCAGAACTTGCTGATCCCCAAAGATGTAGAAATGCTTACTGAATCCCTAGCCTCAATCCTTATGCATTGCCCTTGCTTATAATATGTTAGGCAAGCGTACTGCCTTACCCACAATTTTTCCTACTTCTCTTTTATAATAGAATCATCATTGGCCTCAGTGTCTTCAGTTGTGTCCCCTCTAATGCCTTCCCTTCCATATTTATATGAACTCACTTGGCCCTCCTTGATTCCCTTCAGATCACGATCTCTAGTTTCTGCTTTCTCTTTCAACCCAGCCACACCTCCAGCAAGAGTCAAGCACATTCACTGTACAGTTCCTTCTCACTTGTAAAACCCTAGCCCATTAATGTTGCTTAAGCTGATCTAGCTAGGATAGACAACACACATGCGTGCGCGCACACAGGCGCTCGCGAACACACACACACACACACACAGAGAGAGAGAGAGAGAGAGAGAGAGAGAGAGAGAGAGAGAGAGAGAGAGAGAGAGAGAGAGAGAGAGCGCTCCTGTGGGACTGTAGCTCAAGCATGGGAGTGGGTCCTGTTAGGGTGAGTTGTGGATCCCTGTGTCTGTCGCCCCAGGTGGGGAGCAGAACAGAAGCTCGGGAATTTGACTGAGTTCACTCAACATGGGTAGACGCTGGGCTATGAGAAGCCACTGAGCTACACCCCGGTGGCAGAGCTCCTGGGTTGGGGGTCTCTGGGCTGAAGCAGCTGTCTGGGAGACCGGTGGTCTTTGTCATTGGGCACCCAGAGGCCATTGAGAGCCGCAGAAGAACTGAGACAAGCGGGGGAGTGGGGGAGATATGGGCTGGACCTGTTCTCCATGGTGGGGTCCCAATGACACGTGGAAGTCCATGGTTTTAAAAAGGTTTATTGTCATGGTGAAAAATGGTACCCCGCATACTCAGGGCTGGCCTGAGGTTAAATACCTTTTGTAAGGAAGAGGGTCTGAAAAAAATGCTTAATTAGCTATGCCCTCTGGCTTTTAGGTATCTCATTAATATAGAGATCTCTTGAGGCTCTTCGACCTGTAGTCACGCCCTTACCTGTGGAGGGGCTGTAGGGCGTTGGCCTATGTGACTGAAAGGTGCTGATCAATGGAGGTCTTGGCTGCATGTCAGGAGCCTGGAGTCTGAGAACATGTGGAAATACATGCCGTCTCTTACGGGAGCCTGCAGTCTGAGAACATGTCGAAATACATGCCGTCCCTTACAGGGATACCTGTTGGGTCTGTGGCCATCTCTAGCCAGTGCTCCACCAGAAACCAAGCCATCCTTTCACAGTCCCACATGCTCCTATTGGTAAAAATAATAGGTATTTTTCCTTTCTTGGTCACTTAATATTAGCATCTCTCCCCTTCTTCACCCTTAGCAGATCTGCCTCCTGTGTTGGTAATAAATAGACTCCTCCCTCTGATGGGAGCTGCCTTGTTTTCCTTTCACTCCACAGCTAATCCATAAAGTCTCAGTCTTCTCTTTCCTCTTCCAGGTCCACCTTAGTCTCTTGCAGCCTAAGATGCCAGCCACTATTTCTCCATAATCATTATATTGACTTTGAAAATTAACCCACTTGGAACTGTTCATTTTTCTCCGAGTTCTCCCCTCCACAGTTCAATGCCCTCGTGGCCTGCTGTTGTCTTATATGTGAATTGGGGAAATAAGTGAACCCAACCCATCCGATATATAGTTACATCTGTGAAGTGCTCATAGTCTCCCATAAAGCAAACATTCAGCAAAGGCTTCCTGTTGCAATTGCAGGAGTTACACTCAAGCCTGGGTGTCTGGAGATGGGTAAGAGATAAACCTAGGAAGGATCTTCTCAGTTCCTGATAGTCATGAAGATTTCCAGAACGATTCACAGGGCACTAGACACTAGACATTTTGGTGTAAAGCAACAGAGGGTAGAAATGTAGACTGAAAATTTCCCAGACACAAAGGACAGTTCTAAAGTTCAAGTGGGCTTCTGGAAGTATGACAATTTCAAGGTGACAAAGAACAGGGTGAGAAGAAAAGACACACAAGAGGCAGCAAGAAAGTGAAGTAAGGGCAGGGTGTCTGCCTTTCACTCTGTACTCGAGCATTTAAGGTTTTTTCCACAGCAAGGAACCAAATCATGCGTTAGCAGGGCATTGATGTGATCAGACATGCCTCTACTGTCCACTGTCCCAACCCAAATTTCCTGAGTAGCCTTGCCTCAAAACTTAACATGGAGAGGGCAATTTTCTGTGCCAACCCAAGCTATTTCATCTAGGAAATAAAAACAGGAAATGAACAGTGAAAGCTTTCCACATTTGCAAAAAAAAAAAAAAGAAGAAGAAGAAGAAAAAGAAGAAGAAGAAGAAGAAGAAGGCACCTTGATTTAGGGCACTGGCTCTTTCATCACAGAGAGACACTTTATATACACCGGGCTCTTTGAATGACAGCCAACTCTGGCTTGGCCCTTCTGGATCTTTCTCATATCATTTGCGTGTCTTCTCAGTTCACTTAACTAACATTTATTATGTTAGACACTGCCTAAAGTATCAGATGACAACAAAGAATAAAATTGTCTGGATAGCTATGACTCTCTGAGCTAAGTGAACTGTTTGGAGATAAAAGAATTGAAACAAAAAAATAAAATGAGGCAGATTAAGAAAAGCCAGGATGTCCATTCACCAAAGAATTAAGAGATTAAGGAGCCTGAGGGTTGTTTCAAGTGAATGAACAGAACTGCAAAGCCCCCTTTAAGCACAACCTGCAAATTATTGGGGCGAAGTCCCTTCTCTGCCCAAGGACCACAACTGTACTGTAGCACTCCGACCCACAGATGTGGGAAAAAAAAATATATATATATATATTTTATATATATATAATATATATATATATAATATATATATATATATTGAGATTTATTAAGCCTCCTTTTAACATTGTAGCGTGGCTGTAAATAAAATTAGCCTTATATTTCCATAACAAACAATCGTAGGTTTTGGTGATTGTGGTGTGTTGGGGGGGGTGTTGGACAGCATCCCCTAGCTTGGAACACTGCCCACCAGAGCTCTGCTCCTTATAACCTGCCCCAATAACCGCCAAAACTGCAAGGAACCTCTTTTTTCTTTTCTTCTCTTGTTCCTTGTCACAAAAAATAAGCCAAATCCATAACCACCCAGCATCACGGAGTGATGTCCTTAGTGATTTTTTTTTTTTCATTCTAGTTCTGATTCCAAGGGAAGAATGCCATCTACTGAATCATTTACACCAGCAGCCAGCCCAGCAAAGTGTGAGCACTACTTAACCCCGGTCTGTTCCAAATGCCCTTTGATTATTATTTAGTCCAAAAAAGGGGGGAGGGGTCACTATTTGGGCCGTCAGGAAGTTAGGCTCTGAGCTCTGGGATATCTGATAAACGCTTCCACATATTGTCGCCTTTTCATAGATACTATGCCAAGTTTCAACCTCCTCTCTGCCTGTATTTTCCTTTTAATTGCTCTTTCTCCTTCAGAATGCAGGGTCCCTGCAGCTTGCTGCCTGCGAAAGCCGGTGGTGCCAACATGCTCAGGGTTGCCTGTCCATGCTTGCGGCCCTCCCTACAAAGCAAAGGCCGTGGATTACCCAGACAAGCTTAGCTAGCAAGCATTCGACATTACACCCGAGGCCGGGCGATGCCACCAGGGCTTCCAAATTTATCTAACTCCGTCTTCAGTGGAGCGGGGACGAGGGTTAGGGGGTGCGGTCCCTTCTGCCGTCCGCGAAAGCGAGGCTAGGCAGGCAGGCGGCTCCTGCACCACCTTCGAGCGAGTCGCGGTCGCTGCGGCTCCCGCGCTGCAGCTGCGCGGGAAGGGACGCTGGCGGGAGCGAGCGGACAGGCGCGCGGAGCGGCACCGGAGGCCGTGCTGCGTGGTGCACGGCGCGTGGCGAAGCGACAGCTTCGGACCGGTGGAGGCACCTCGTGAGGTTAGTGGCTCCGGCAGCGCCAAGCCCGGGGAGCTCTCTCCCGGCGGCGCGCACGGGCGGCGCGGCGAGGGCGGCGGGGGCGGGGCGGACGCGGAGGGGCGGGGCTGCGTGGACGGGCGGCCGCCCCGAGCGTTTGCTGCAGCCGGAGCAGAGTGCGGCGAGCGCGACGAGCGCGGCGCGGGCGGCGGTCCATGGCCCCGACGGGAGGCGCGCCGCCCGCACCCGCAGCTCGGCGTCCGGCTTGAGCGGACCGCGCTGCGCAGCCATCTGGTCCTCGGCTTGGGCTTGGTTTGCAGATCTTCTTCATGGAAGCGATGTCTCCTCAGCAGGATGCTCTAGGGGCGCAGCCGGGGCGCTCCTCCTCGCTGACAGGCATGTCTCGCATCGCGGGAGGCCCTGGCACCAAGAAGGTGAGGACGCCCGAGCGGGAGGCCCCCATGTGCTCGCGCCTTCCATGGGTGCCTGGTGCTGAGAGGGGTTAACGGCCTCAGCGTGGGGTGGGAAGGGGTCACCTCCCGGGATCCCCGCTATATTCTCTGGTGGGAACGGGTCTCGGAAAAGCCCCTTGCCTCTCCACCTCTGACCGGGGGAGTGCCTCCCTGCGAGCCTCCCGAGATAGCCTTAACCCGACAGCCTGAGGAAGGTAGGAGGCGGAGGGGAGGGATGATGCGCCCACCCAAGGCCTCCAGGGGGTGTCGGAGATGGGTGCCATGGGCCACACTGCGGGATCCGGAGGTTTGACTCGGCCTAGATCTAGGCTGGTGGTGGGTGGGCAGCTTCCGGAGGTCCCAGCGGGGCGTGGGGGGCTTGGCTCAGTGCCACCCCCCTGAGAGGGGACCTTGCATGAGCCTGTGGGGGCGGTGCCCTTGTTCCCTGACACCCGAAGGACCGGTGCGGGCAACTACTTGTAGCTTTTGCTGGTGATTGCCTGGTCCACCGTGCAGCGGGAGGATCTCGATGGAGGTCAGGTGTCTGCAATAGGTCCCTGAACAAGTGCACGTGGGCCGCGAGCTTCTGAGCTCCCGGGAATTGATTTGGGTGCTCCTGTAGCCATGTCTGCCCCTCTTCCTTCCTCCAACACAAAACCTTCCGATATTTGGCCATATTTGTTCCTTTCGGTGGTGTCGCCTTCTCTAGCTTCTCTGGAAACAAGTTAGAATGAGAGATCATTCTAGCTCTTCCCTAACAAATAATGTGAAAACGTTGCATTACTATAATTAGAGACTCAAAGGGATACACTGGCTCCCTGCGTGTCCGGATTTTATGGCGTTTCATTAATCTTCCCACTAGGATGGTGGGTTGGCTGGAGGTCAAAGAAGAGAGGTGATAGCTGTATAGAAATGTATGTGAGCTCCCAAGGATCTTGGACCTGTCGCAGAGCCCTCTATGGGTGTCTGTGAACTTGATGTATGGGCAGTAGTGGCGGCTCAGCCTTTGATGTATGGAAGCTGATGTTTGCCCTTGTGGGGTTTTTCACCCTTCAGAGGCAGAATGTGTGCGCTCGCGCGCGCGCGCGCGCCTCTCTCTCTCTCTCTCTCTCTCTCTCTCTCTCTCTCTCTCTCTCTCTCTCTCTCTCTCTCTCTCTCTC